TAGATTTAAACAATATGATAAGCCAAATTTGTCTATTTCTGCCTTAGTGTTTGATTCTTGGTACAGAATTAATGTATTAACTAGTCTTTAATATAAAGCATACCCAAAATATGAAAGAACAAAATGATACTGTTGGCCATGGATCTATACACTACACAGACTATGATCATAATTAGATGGTTTACAACAAAGCTGCAAAAACGTGGCCAGGGCCATATGGGGCATGCCAGCATCCCTTTTGTAATACCTACAGTCCTCCACAATGGGTGGCCCAGATGGGGTGTGAGCTTTTTTGCTTTTTTTTTTTTTCCTTGTTGAAGGAGTTTAACAGACAAAATGAGTGCCAAAATGGGTCCTAGTTCTGGCCACTTTTAGATTGGAGCTCTTAACATGCTGTGCAGAACCTACTCTGACTCTTCAGCTGATGGAAATTGTACAGTCCTGGTTCAAACATACAAGAAATCACTGGAACATGGTGAAAAATATGGAATTTTGAAGTAAAATTTACACCTAAAGCAATATTTACATATGACTTTGAAATATGGGCTTTATTCTCTAAAAAGATTACTTTTTAAGCCCAACCTCTGCTTAAGATGATGAGAATTTACATTTGTTCTCTTGTTTAGCATGGAATCTCCCCATTTATCATAGCACAAAAAGCTTACTTTGATTAATTATAAATTACATAAATTGAAACGAGAGGCTATGAATGTACAGAATCCTTTTTTCCCCTATATAACACTGAAGTGAAAGCATTTCAGTCCTCTCCCCCATCCTCAACTTGGCAGAAAACTATACCACAATAAAACTTGGTTATCCTCATTGTAGGGTTACCAGACATCTGGCAAAAAGAGGACACGTCCTTCTTTTTGTCTTCATGTCCTCCATCCAGCAGGCATAGCCTTAAAATCAAATATTGTCTAGCTTTTTGAATATCTTAGGGTTTTTTGGACTATTTTCACAACAATAGTCATTCAAACTTTCATTTATTGTGAGCTTGTAAATTGCCTGCTTCTTTCTTTTCCTCATCTGTCAACAGACTCAACAGCCTAGATTTCCTGATTCCATGAATTGGCTTCATTCTAGCCCCTTCAAATCTATGATCACTGTACAGTAGTCTGTAGATCACATGACTCATCCTATGTTTCTATGGTGAAATTTGGAAAGCACATTGTCGTGGACTCCACATTATCACTAGCATATGTTCTTGAAAATAAAGGTTTGTTGGAAAAATATTGCGACTGAAAACCAGTCTTTCTGATGCTAGAAAAAGTAAGTTCATATACATGTAGGCCCAAGTACATTTTTTGCACTGTAATTTTTGTTGCAGATGCCAAGAAAGTTAAACAGTTAGTGTGTCCTCTTCCCCCCCCCAACACATTTGTTATCCTTTTTAATTGTCAGTGTCCTCCTTTGCCTATTCAGATATCTGGTAACCCTATCCCCATTGTGAATCACTATCTTGCCTCTCCTGCCTCTGTTTGAAGTCACTGCAGTTATCTGATTTCCCAAAAAGATAGCAAGTAACAAGCCTAACAGATTTTATACACTTTTAGCCTGCCCTTGGATGGTGTTGTCATAAGGACAGACAGTGATACAGTGAAGAATGACTTAAGCTTTCTTAGTCATGGGCTGGGGGATAAGAATTTACAACAGAAAAAAAGATATTGCCAAGACCTATTTGCAAGTAGGAAAAGATACTACAACTAATGTAAAAGCTGCCATTTTTACAGAGGAATTTCACTTTAGAAATCCCAGGATAAAATTACTCAACTGGAAGTCATCAAAATATTTTAGTCCATTATTTACAGCAAATAGTCATTTTCTTTTATACTACAGATGACAGGAGCAAACTACATGCAAACTTAGACGTAGCACATATTTAAACAACATGTCTGAATTTATTTTAGTGAAAAAGCAAACTCCTAATTTGGAATATGTACATTTGGACTCTACTCTCCCCTCCCCATTACTACAAACAGTACCTTCAAGAAAAATAGCACTGGGGAAATACTTTCCCTAAAATAAAAAATGGTGGGGAAGAGTAAAGAGTAAAGCTTTAAATTGGGCCCCCAGAATAAAGATCCTTAGAGTAAACATACTTATTTCTCTAAAGTAAAAAATCACCAGAGTAAGCACTGTTGTTATTAAGCACACAGTTAATACTACATGGATTACACTGCATTAAAGCATGGTTTATTTTAACCATGCTTTGTTGGTTTAAATAATTCTCAAGTTAATAAATAATGCTATACCATAATTTACAAATCACATCAGCTACTCATACACATCTGTATATGGAGAATGCTTCTACAGTGCCTGGGGTTTGTTCAGTTTGGGCGTAGTTCATAGTATGACTTCGGCCCCTTTGGCCGACAACAGACCATGTTTCCCTTCCTTTCTGCAGAACTATAGCAACTGGCAGATTGGATCTCAATTCCCCCCTTCCCCCAGAGATAGCAGGAAAAAGGGGGAACATATTCCTCATAGCAGGTCCTTTTCTAGTTGCTGGATGATGTCAGGTCGGTTATCTTACGAACAGTCTTCCAGAAGCATAAGAAGTAATAACAGCTTTCCATCCCTTCATGGCAAAGTGTTAATCCTGGAACAGTCCAATTTATTACTGATTCATTGACTGATTGAATTTATATAGCTGCCCATCTCACTTGCATGTGACAATTAAAACAAAAACTAATCAACGTAATTCACCCATTAAAACCAGTTAAAAAACTATAACAACAAAAATACAGGGAAGAATGCAGTCTAAACTTATTCCATGACTTACTCTTGCACGCACAATAACTGATCATTTAACCCTGCGCAGATAAACCTTCTGAACTGGGGCCGCTTTGCCTTTTCACATTAAGCCTAGGACTGATGGGTGAAATTTGGGACAATAAGCAATCTGTAAAAGGGAGGCTGCGCTGTGATCCTGTACATATTTAGCGATAAGTATCAATGAGGTCAGTGAGGTTTACTTCTTAATGGACCTGCACAGGTTTGCACGGTTCAGCTGCAACCTTGCATATGCTTATTTGGGAATGAATAAGTTCTTACTATATTCAGTGGAGATAAGCGCAAGCCGAGGCGCGCGAGGAGTGAGCATTTCCAAAACTACAGCCCCGCCTGTTTCCTCCTTGAGGGAACGAAACTGGGGCTGCACCTCTTCTCCAGCGGTCCACGTCTGGCCAGGCCAAAGGGCATCTCCCGCTGCCTCCTTGCGCAGTAGCAGCCTCGAGAAGCCACGTGCGCGTCAGCGTCGAAGCAGGGAGTGGCCCGGAGGTGGCAGCCGGCGGCGGAGACAGGAGGAGGAGAGAGGCTGCCGGAGGAGGGACCGGGGACCGCGGCCTCGAGTCGCCCTTCTCCGCAGATAGCTCGGCGCGGAGCATCAGCCGCCCGGCCGCCGTGCTTCGCTGCTATGGAGGGCGCCGGCGCCCGCCCCGGCTTCACGCACCGCCGCTGCCTGTGAATTGCCGCCAACGCGCGCGGCGCTCTTT